TATGAAGATCTCACTCCAAACATTATTAATATTAAATTATATTATGAGTGGTATTATTGTTATGATTCCGTTGAATAAGTTGTGTGATGAGATTAGTTTATGAGAAGGCAAAGAGTAGGAAGTAATAGTGTGAAAATTTGGCAATTTCGTATAAATCAAAGACTAACAACAGAAAGAAAAGGTATTGTGTTTTGTTTGGGTGCAGGAAGAAGATCGAAATGTAAAATTAATATGTTGCGGTGTGTTTGGAGGTCAGGGTACATTGATAAGAAGGCACAGCACATGCACACATAGTTGTTGGAATTCTATACTATAATTTTAGGAAATTCATATGCCAGACTAAATCTTAAATTAAATAAAAGTTAATAAATTAAAGAAACTCCTAATTTATTCTCTTAAACTTTTAAATTAGAAGTGAGTCACATTTTTAGAAAATAAATTTTTATTCTAATTATAAAATCAATATCTAAAATAACTTTTACATTCTTATATATTTATAGATTGATTTTATATTAAGCTAATCCGAAACTTCTAATAGATTAAAGAGTATATATTTTGAGCATACTCTCAATAAATTAAACAATACTCTCAAAAAATTTTGATATCTAAATTATAATTCATTATTTTGATATCATATAAGTAAAAATAAAAATTTAACTAAATTTTACAAAATCAATTTATAAAATAAATTTTATATTCACATATATACTATTAACATTATCTCTATTTAATACAAAATTTATTATCTAAATTCAAATCAAATCTTATTAAGACTTTTTTTTATTAAGATTTTTTTTTAATTTTCTTAAAAAACCACTATGGTAAAAATAATAGAATAAGAAAATCACCGTTGAGACTCTCGTGATAAAAAAAAAGCTTTTCTTTCAGAAAGATCCCTATAATAATATTCAATATCATTATAGGGAAATTTTTCGTTTTTTGCGTTTAGAAGAAGTGATTTTTCTTTTAACTTGGGTAATTGAAGCGAAGAGGGGATGGAAGTGGTGCAAGACCGTGTTTGGAAAAAAGTACGTAGAAGAAATGAAAAGCCTATGAAAACGAAATTAAATACGGAAAGTGTACTCCCAAAAGATGTGCTTTACAAGTCAGCCAAAGTGTCCAAACACGCCCCCACTTTCCATCTACTCACTCCCACCAAACTTATCTCATTTATATCTCATCAATGTACTTTAATTTTAATTTTTCAAACCCACATGCTATTATCTTTTACTTATAATTACACCAAACCTATCTTTACATAAACTACTTCATTCAAAAATTAGTTGATTTCTAAAAACACATTACTATATACTTATAAATTTAGTTTTCCGTTGCATTCTTCGTAGAAGTTGAATATTTCTATTTATTTTATAAAAAGTTATATTTCCTTTTCTGATTCGTTATGCTATACTCGTCTAAAGAGAAAAAAAAAAAATTCATCATCGTCCTCGTATTCATGTTATAAAATTGTTGTCTCATTCTCGTCTTCACTCAATAACAAATATTTATATTTATAAACATGATATTATCAAATATTCAACATTAAAAAAAATGTAATATTGTTCTTCAAGATAAAAAATTTTAAAAAGAAATTATATCTATAATAATGTACATTTCAAATTAGAGTATGAAATCAAATTTCAAGAAATCAAAACATTTATTAAATTTACAAAGTTAATGAAACAAAATTGTTAAAATTTAAAAAAACCTTTAGAAAAAATCAAAGAAAAAAACATATAATCAATTTGAAAATATTTTAAATATCTTTTTACTCCCATATTTTTTAAATTTTAATGAAATATTTTACTTTACAGATTAATAAAAGTTGCAATGCGTTCCTTGAATAAAATCACATTAAGGATAAATATTGAACCAATAATAATTGAAATTTAGCATAATTTTTTTATCTTTTGAATATTTATATATGTTGGACGATGATAAATAAGATTGAAGATAATATAATTAAATTATTATATTATAATAAATAATTTTTTTTATACCATTGTGGTAATAAAATTATAGTATGATAATTAAAATATATTAAAGTAAAGACTAAAAATACATTTTAAAATGTTGCGTTGTTTTGACCAGTTTGAATTTGGAAAGTTCTTTGAGGAAAAGCAGGAAAGGAAGTGGAGAGTGCATTGAAAGCACGCAAGAGGTACGAATGTACGTTAGGTTTTCTCCACTCCAAAACATGCACACATAGTAATTCCCTGTTTGGCCCTCCCAATTGCAAAAAGCCAAACAAAAAGAAAGCGTTAGGCATCTATCTAATTTTAACGATTGCGACAAGAGAAAAACTGAACCACCTAAGATCGCTTTTAATATTTCCGGAACATCTCATTTATTCGGTGCTTTCGATTGTGGAACGCTCAATACGCATCACGTTTCACCATTTTTTCTCCAAAACTTTTCCTTCTGCTAGTGCCTACCTTTTTAATCATTATTATTATTATTATTATTATTATTATTATTGGGCTAAAGATAAGGATGCAACTTTTCTTTTTTCTTTTTTATGGATATGATCTTTGAGACTTAGTGCACTTCTTTATTCCACGTACAAACATCTCCCTTTTTAGTATTCAACTCAACTATCCTCTTTTAATAACTGATGCATCATCTATTCGGTCTATTGACGGGAAATTTTTGTGTAGATTACACACAAACATCAATAACATCGAAGTCAGTTATATAAAAAATTGATACTACTTTTTATTCAAAATACTAAGATAATGAGTTAACAAGTCTTTCACCTTTATATACTACTCTACTTCTCATTTTTATCTAATATGAAACTTAGACTCACTTAAATTTCCAACATCGTTATCTTTTCCCTACAAAGTCCTCTTCAATTCAAACATCTCCACCAATATGTTACAACTTCTAGAAGTAAGTACCCGGTACTTCTGTGTACCATCAAACCTTCTTTAATCCTTCAAAAGTTATACAAGAAAAGATAAATAAAGAACGATTCTGCCACCAGACATTATCTATTACTATAAACTTATAAAGTTTTATCTGAAAATGGCTCCAACTACAGTATAGATATTGTTTATTGGACTCTTGTTGGGGAGTCTGTTACAGTGGAGTATTAAAAATGGGAAATGCTGTAAGTGTTTGAGAAAAACTTCCAGAGAAAGATATTATTGAGAACGAAATCAATCAAAAGTATAAAGAATATATACAAAGGGGAAAATAAAAAACTGTTACAACAGTAACAGAAGAAGAGATCTGTTAAGATCTCTATCAAATGCAGACCGATGTGAGAAATTAATAGGGAATTTCTTCATGCACCTATACTTTCAAAATTTCAATCATAGCATGTTGAAATTAATAGAAGAGGACGGGGTGAGATTTTTTTGTGTGTGTTTTAATTATGATTTCAAATTGTGTAATTCATATATATTTCAAATCACAGAATTAAAAATTTTAATTTTTGTTGTTGTTGTGTGATTTGAAATGTAGATTTGCTTCATGAATTAATGCGTAATGTGAATCTATATTTTGAATTATATAATTTGTAATACATATTTATATTTTGAACTGCAAATTTTGAACATAATAGGACGTTCAAATTGCTTTTTCTAGTATAATCTGAAATGTAAATTTAGAACATGACATACAAATTATTTTTCAGACTTCATAATTCAAATTTTATAATAAGAATTGTAATTTAGAATATAATTTTATATTATATATTGTACAATCTAAAATACAATTTTAGAATATACAAAGTAAAGGTAATATGAGGTGTTGTTTCTTACAAATGATGGAGGCAATGGTAGTACAGGGGCGTGAAGGAAATCTAAAATGAAATTTAGGTTTTAAATCAATTTTTAATAAGGGGTAATTAAGGGATTTTACTTAGACTGTGGGTGTAAGAAGAAAACATGAGAGTGCAGGAAGAAATTCTCCAATTAATCAATGTACAGGATTTGATGTTGAGCTTGTAAGTTCACATATATATCTTTGTATTTCAAGGCCGAACTTAACCCATTATTTGTGTGCCTTATTGAAGTATAGTTAGCATTTTAGTTGCACAAGATAAATGCTTTATTTATACAATTAAAATAAAAATAAAAATAATTTTGATATATAAATTATATTAGGTTGAAAAAGCATTTAGTTCCTAAAAAACAAAATTATTTAGTTTAATGTTATACGTTTAAATTATCATGTTAGTCCGTTCAAGAAAGCTGTTAGTGTTCATGCTTTTGTAGCTGGTTACTGCATTCTTGGTTTAGGTATTACATAATGGACTATAAATCCTCTCTAGTGAGATAAAATGAACATTTTATACATATAATGGTTGATGATAATATATTATCAGATCAGATAATTTTTTGACAATATTTTAACACTGTCTACGTCTCATTATATTAATATTTATAAGGGTTAAATATGTTTTTAGTCCCTAAACTATTGGCCGTTTCTGGTTTTCGTCCCTCTTTCAAAGTAAGGTACAATTTGGTCTTCATTCTTTTCAAAACGTTCATTTTAGTCCTCAGAATTTTGGTTTTAGTCCTCATTTGTTGCTAGATGAGGACCAAATTTTTAAACAGTGTTTAATTTTCGAGGACTAAAACGAACGTTTCGAAAAGAATGAGGACCAAATTGTACCTTACTTTGAAAAGAGGGACAAAAATCAGAAACGGCCAATAGTTTAGGGACTAAAAACATATTTAACCCTATTTATAATTATTATTATTAATTATAGAATGATTTTAGACCTAATAATATTAAAATATTATTAAAATATTGTGAAAATATCTTTATCAATGTATTAACACATACTTCTTCAATAACATTTTTAATATAATATAATTATCAATTTTTTTATTGAGTTTAAAGTACGTAATTATATCATTATAGTAACAAATAAATAGAACCAATGAAAAAAATAATGAAATTGTTTGGCATACACGGGAGCCAAATTTGGTCTGAAATTTCGCAAATGGTTTATTTTGATTGAACGATGAAATTGGCGGCATAGGGTTATTGAAAGATGTCATACAAAGATTGAAGAAACAGAGTAGAGAGAGGAGCTTATTAAGGAATATGATACAAAGCAGAGGAAATTGAAGAGATTAAGAAACGGTGGAGTTGGTTAAAGTTAAGTCCTTATCGATAGCTTTTTTGGCAGTGTCAAGATCCTCATCGAAGAACATATCCCAATGCCCATCCCACTTGATGAAAAACTCAGTATCCTCGTGGTACTTAACCCTATGCACATCGCCTGCGGGAGTGAACAAGTAATCCCCAACAATCAGATCGTATCTCTCTTCCTTCGTCAGATTCCAAACGCTCTTCTTCCCTTCCAAAACCACCAAGTCGTGCCCGAATGTGTGGTGGTGCGCGGGCTCCACGCTTCCGGCCTTGAACCTCACGAACGCTGACGTCGGAGTCTCCCTCACGATCTTCATCGAACCGCCCGGAATCAACTCGATCGGATTCAGTTCCCGGTTCTTCACCAGACAGCACACTGCGCACGTATCGAACGCTCCTTCTTTACCGATCTCCGGCATCTCCACCAGTGAGTGGTCCAGAAACGTCTGGATCTCCCGCGGCCAGGGCTCGCCCTCGTTGGCGGGACACGCGGACTTAAACGGCGTGTTCAGCCACGTGTCCAGGATCTCGATTGCGGCTTCCGGCGTTGTGTACTTGCCGGAAACGGCGAGTACGTTGGAGTTGTTGATGGAGCGGGCGTTGATGGCGTCGGAAGGGGTGAGGCAGGTGGCCGCGTAGACGCCAGGGAATTTGTTGGCGAAGATAGAGACGCCGGCGCCTGTGCCGCAGGCGACGAGGCCGCGGACGGCGGAGGATTGGGAGACTCGGCGACCGACCTCGGCTCCGGCGGAGTAGTAGGAAGAGGTTCCGAGATCCTCGACTTCTATGCTGAGGGAGCGGAGGTGTGCGACGAGGGCGTCTTTGAGAGGAGTTCCGAAATCATCGGCGGCGGCGATGATTTTGGCGGGGCGCGTGGGTTCTGCAGCCATGGGCGATAATCGGATCGAAGGATTCTTCGGTGGAGTTCACTCACTTCACTTGCACACACTCTCAGCTGAGACCCAGGTACAATGAATCTGCCCCCTTATTGCTCTAAGTAATCTAGGATTTCAATAATATCTATCTTTTTCTCTCAATAATGTAGGGCCCATTTGTTTTGTTTTTTCTAAATGCACACCCAAGTTTTTTAATGAGGCCGTGTTCAGAAATTATGCTTTGGTTGATTTGTATGGATTAAGGAAACAGAATACAAACTGAAGAAAAAGAAAAGTAAAAGTTTGTAATAAACTTATTTTATTGTAATAAAAAATTAAATCAATTAAGTCATATTATAAGTTATAAAATTATCTTTAGTCTAATTTTAATGAAAATGACTATAAATTAAAATTGAAAGATTAATTAATAAAACTGGATATATAATATTTAAATTTATTTTGTTAATAACATTTCATGAAATTACATATTTAAAAATAATTAAATTGAACTTAATCAAAATAATAAATATAAAGATTGAATTGAACATAAAATAAAATACTAATATGATATTTATACCAACACATGATACATGCACTTAAGACTATAAATGTAATTGATATTGAGTTGATAGATGAATATTTTTTTAATTAAAAAAAATGAAAACATATATTGTTTATTGTTATGTTAACTTTTAAAATGACTTTAAAAAAAGTTAATAAATTAATACAAAACAGGACTTCATTAAAATACATTAAACAAACTTAATAAAAAAGTAGAAACTAAATTAGCATTTAAATAAAGAAGAATATAAGTCTAAGGAGGACCTATTTTCATCTTAATTAAAATTAATTATTTATTGTTATTGTCAGTAAGTTATATATAGATCCTTTTTTTTTTTGCTTAGAAGAAGTGAAATATATTCTTTTTTCTTAATTTTAATGAAATAATTGTATAGATTTCTGTTGTACTTATTTCTCTCCCTATCTAACCGTGTGTGTGTATATTTGTGAATTTTTTAAAATTTATTATCAAGATTAAGAGTATATGTCTTACTATCGAGAGAAAGTTATGATAAGAGGTGAAATTCGCAATATTTAAGAATGCTCGCATGAATTTTACTCACGAACAATGCATTAAAATTGATTATATAAAAAGTATATCTGAATGATTGAAACATTTTAAAAATAGTCGACGCTGAATGGTCTAAAGTTGTAGGCATGTTATTATTGTACACAGCCTAGAATACGTTGTCACTTTAGGTGGTGAAGGTTGTCAATTGAAATGTGAAGAATTTTCCGGTACCAAAAAGTAATATTTTTAGCAATTGATTACATAACAAGATTAAAAGTAAAACTTTGATTGAAAAGTGATTTTTATATGTTGATAAGAAGGCGAGGTTGCTTTAATGTTAGAAATGGTGATGTTGCAGATAATCTTCCCCATATAATATGTTATAAGAAAGAAAGGGTTACCTCTGTATCTTGTGTGCTGTGTAAGGGGAATGAGTTTCTTCCTAATTTGAATTCTCTATTAAATTTGTTTGTCTGTATCCTAATGTATGTTCTTGAAATCAAAAGATCAACAGATTTTGATATTATAAAATATATTATTTTTTTTAAAATATTAATATTAATATATGTATGGTAAGACTGTTTAATGCGTTGCAAATTAGGTTGATGGTTCAATCAACTACAAATTGGACGGTGTTGTATAAAAGCTGACATAATCACGAACAATATTTCCTGAGGCGTGTAGATTCATTGTCCTTAAGGACTTATTCGCGGTGTATTGCGCAAACCTCCCAGGATACAACAGAAACTTTTCATAATTTCTGAGGATCTCAGAACTAGCAAGGATATCTTAAAGAGAGAATAAAATAAACCTAGAATATTTTTAGGAGAAGAAGAAAAGAGAAAAATGAAACTAAGAGAAGAAAGAATGAAAGAAGAATGATTCTGATGATGTGTTTTGGAGTGAAGGAAGTGTTCTATTTATAGAGTTCATGGATCAGGCCCATAACATAAAAAATCTCTTAGAAAATTATTTTTTTAATAAATATTAATGTTGCAAAACGATGGCAACAAGGCACTTTGGAAATATCTTCAAAACCAATCGTTAAAAGAAAACTTGCGGTCCAAGCTCGAGAGAAAACTTCAGCTTTTGATGGTACAACTTTTGCAATATTATATTAAAATAATAACAATCCCCCACATATTGCAAAAGATAAGAAACAATGATTGGAAGAAAAAAAAGAAGAAAAATCCTGGATTTTATAAGATGTAATGCATCAGAGCTGGTATAGCAAGCTATATGAACCAGTCCTAGATCAAGAAACTTAACACACAGTGTAGTTGGTATAGCAAGCTATATGAACCAAAGACACTTGAGTGTGTTAGAGGTTTATCAATCACAGTACACCCCCACAATCTTTGCTGTTATCGTTGTGATGCGCTTAGTAGGCCATGCACGTGTCAAGTATTCATGAATGCTCTAGAGATCATGCCAAGATCTCATGCAAGCGGCCCCACTTGACACTCATATAGGTGATTTTATCAAGTGTATGTTGCAAATCATACACCATCCATAAGGGATATGAAGATCATTAAAAACTTTGCTTAATTACAAAGTTAAACCTCTCAATAATGCAGTCTCTAGCACTTTCACACACCATAGAAATGAACATATTTGATTTAAAATCAAATTAGTACTATAAGAACTAACAAGTGACTTGATTTTACCCATATGAACCTTATTCATGGGATCTCCAATCACAAAGGTTGGGTTACCATCACTTGTTTGTTTGCTAGTGGCTTAAGTCTCATTCCCCTCGATGTTTCTAAAATCATATTTCTTCACAAGAGTTTTGTCAGAGGATCAGATAGATTCCATTATGACTTCACATAGTCAATGGAAATAGTAACACTCTTTAGAAGCTACTTCACCAAATTGTGTCTCAATTGGATATGTCTATTCTTTCCATTGTAATTCTTGTTTTTAGTTATAGCTATTGCCGATTGGCAATCACAGTGTATTGACACCGATGAGGTTGGTTTCATTTCTAGTGGAATGTTTGCTAAGAAGTTTTTCAACCACTCAGCCTCACTATCAACCATCTCAAGAGCGACAAACTCAGATTCCATTGTTGATATTGCAATAATTGTTTGTCTGGCTGATCTCCATGTAATCGCACCACCCCCAAGTGTGAATACATAATCGCTAGTGGATTTTGTCTCATCTGAATCAGAGATCCAATTAGCATCACTGTACCCTTCTAGTACAACAGGAAATCCACTATATTCAATGGCATAATCCATTGAACCTCTTACGTATCTTATAAGCCTGGAAAGTGCATCCCAATGTTCTTGATTTGGACATTGAGTGTACCTACTCAGTCTATCTACTGCATAAGCAATATCAGGTTTAGAAAAGCTTCATTAAGTGCAGTAAGCTCCCAATTAGCTGGGCATACTGAGGCTGAGATAACGATTCTCCTCTATTTTTCATTAATTTAGAGTTAGCATCATAAAGGGTACTCACGAGTTTGAAATCATAATACCTAAACTTCTTAAGAAGTTTCTCAATGTATTGTTCTTGTGATAATAATATATTATCTCCCTTCCTTATTATGATTCTAACACCTAAAATTACATTAGCTTCACCCATGTCTTTCATTTCAAAGTTCGATCTTAGAAACAATTTAGTTCTAGCAACAATCTCATTGCATGTACCAAAAATTAACATGTCATCCACATACAAACATATAATGACACAATCACCATTTTCAAATTTAGAATACTATCAATATCATTAGGTGAAAAGCCAAAATTTATTTTTTTGAGTAATTAAGTAAAATTACCTACACCCCCACAATTTTAAATATATTTTAGATTGGTAAACGAGAAAATACCTAGTTGTGCTTTTCTCTTTGTAGGTAAAATATACGAAAATTTACTCAAGTACCTCATCTTCTTCGTCCTCATCCGCGGTCCTTACAAATGCGATCAGAAACCATAGTTGCTACGAGCACCTTGGCAGCCTCCGGTAGTTATGGATTTTGCAAATACCGTCTGAGTTCTGAAAACAAAGTTTTGATCCTCCAGGATTGAGTTGTTGATGTCAGCCATAAGTCCTTAAGATTGTTGTATAAAAGCTGACATAATCACGAACAATATTTCCTGAGGCGTGTAGATTCACTGTCCTTAAGGACTTATCCGCGGTGTATTGCGCAAGCCTCAGAATACAAAAGGAACTTCTCAGAATTTCTGAGGATCTCAGAACTAGCAAGGATCGAGAATAAAATAAACCCAGAATATTTGTAGGAGAAGAAGAAAAGAGAAAAAAATGAAACTAAAAGAAGAGAGAATGAAAGAAGAATGATTCTGGTGATGTGTTTTGGAGTGAAGGAAGTGTTCTATTTATAGAGTTGATGGATCAGGCCTATAACATACAAAAATCTCTTAGAAAATTATTTTTTTAATAAATATTAACGTTGCAAAACGTTGGCAACAAGGTACTTTGGAAATATCTTCAAAACCAATCGTTAAAAGCAAACTTGCGATCCAAGCTCGAGAGAAAACTTTTGCTTTTGATGGCACAACTTTTGATATTATAAAATATATTAATTTTTTTAAATGTTAATATTAATATAAGTATGGTAAGACTATATAATCCGTTGCAAATTAGGTTGATGATTCAATCAACTACAAATTGGACGGGCAGTCTTTATTTTGATCCGCATGAGTCATCGATAGTTATGGAAATTAACTGCTTGATCATAAATCCAAATAATTAATTGACAATAAAAATATAATTATCAACTATTGAACTGTAATTAGACTAATATTAATTAGACTAATATTAATTAGAACTCACCTCAAAACCTATAAATACAAGAAATTAGGATGATATATATTTACCAGACTGTTAATATTTAAACTATTAAAGTTGAATTAAATTTAATATAAGAATGTTTTTTTAGGTACTCATGATTCAACAAACAATTACGACAAAAACTTAAAGACAGTTTCAAACCCTACACAACTCATTATATTTTGTACCATTCACCTCAATCCTATATTCCAAAAAATATATTTTTATTGTCCAAGACAACACTAAAAAAAAGCTCCATAAGAAATCTAGTTCTGAGAGTGCAGATAGCTGGATTGGTATAAAATAAAGGAAGGTCTTCTGGTTGTCGGAGCC